GGAACAAAGCAAGAACAGGCCAACATGGTCTTTACCAAAATCCATCAGTTTATTTATTTACACAGTCAGCAATAAATAGAGGAAACCCAGGTGGCAGGAGTGCTGGAAGTGGGACCCACCCCTCCAGCAATGGGCACGGGCTGGGAGGCCAAGTCCTATGAAACAGAAAGGGTGCAAGAAGGCAGAGGGATACTGCAACTGGGGGGCACAACCCCTGGGATAGGGTGAGACTTGAGCCCTGCTAGAGGGCAAGCCAAGGAGGTGAAGGACAGGACAGGGTTGGCAGAGGAAGCAGCAGGCAGAGCCTGGCATAGGCAGGGGGCCGCCCCCCGCTTTTTGGGTCCCTCCAGTTTTCACAGCCTCCCAGAGCAGAACCACAGGGCAGGAGAGGGGTCCCCCTCCCCACCAAGCCCAATTCCCAGCTCAGTGAGATGCAGCTGCAGGTGGGACTAGACAAGATTGGGTGCACATGAGCTGGGAAGGAATCCCACAGGCAAGATTACATCAGATACTGACAACACCAGCTTGGTGCCAAGCACAGGGACACCTGAACTCCTTGCCCTCCCTGCCCTGGCTCCACCAGGAGATCCCCAGCCACATCTTAAGAGCTTCATGCTCCAGTTCAGGGACACAGCTCTCCTCTGGTAACATCAAGCCAAGCCCTCCTGCCCCCCAAAAGCGGGCAGCAGCCTTGGGGCTGCAGGAAGGACAGATGCCACAGGGCAACTGCCCCAGCACAGGCACCTGCCTTTAAAAACCTACAATTTACATAAAACCGCCATGGTAAAACCTTCCCACAGAAGAGATGCCACGCAGAGAAGGGTGATGAACGACCCCAGGCAGAGCAACACAATCCCTGAAGTCCGATGTGGCAGGGCCAGGCAGAGCCTGGGGCGATGTGCCCACGCAGCATTACCGGCAGGTGCAGGACTCTGCTATCATGTTCTCGTACTCCTTGTAAAGGATGCTGCCATCACGCTCGATCATGAGGACACTGATGGGGCTGTAGCGGTAGGGAACGCAGGAGGGCCAGGGCACATTGGCATCCACCAGCTGATGGACAAAGCTCTGCACCACAGCATGGTTGGGCGCATGGTAGTCGTGGCGGAGCAGGCGGGGACAGGCACCCTTGCAGTAGCGTGGGTTGTAGCGATGGGGAGCAATGATCCAGTGGTCCCAGCCCAGCTGGGCAAAGCTGACAGGGAAGGGGCGCAGGGAGCAGTCACTCTTCTCCCCTTCCTGCTCCCGCAAGTAGCCAGGCAGGTCGTGGGCCAGCGTCCCTGTGTCACGCCGGTGCCGATGGGGGTCTGCCGCCAGAGATGCCAGTCCAGCCTGGGTGTCATTGAGGTAAAGGAGGAGGAAGGGGTGGCTGGGGGCTACTGGGGCATCACGGCCACCCATCCGGCCAGCACGTACACAGACGTGCCGCAGTGCCAGGCTCCCTACACTGCCATTCCTTGACACCAGGTAAGGAGTGACATCTGCTTCGGCCCAGCCGCGGCGCGGGCGTGCGACAGGGCTGAGCAGTGCCCCAGGTGCGTCGCTGGTGGCTGACAGCTCCAGGGCACAGAGGAGGCGACCACGGGCCAGCGGCAGGCTCGGCAGGTAGACTACGGTGGCTCG